CGGATTAGCGCCGATCGGTGTGGTTTTTCAAGCTCAAGGGCGGATTAGTTTTTGAAGTTGATTGATCGAGCCGTTTAAAAGATATTCCAAAAAAACCACTTTCAAAAATGATTTTTTTCTTATTTTTTTTGAGGTTTTTCAAAATTTCTCAAAATCTATCGGTCCGAATCGGTTCAAATTCTCAGGAGATCTAAGTTTAGCGAAGCCCTTTTGAATGCCACCAACCGCGATGAAATCGGTTCAACCGTTCAAAAGTTATAAGTGATTCACATACTTACACACACACATACACACATACACACATACATACATACATACATACATACATACATACATACATACATACATACATACATACATACATACATACATACATACATACATACATACATACATACATACATACATACATACATACATACATACATACATACATACATACATACATACATACATACATACATACATACATACATACATACATACATACATACATACATACATACATACATACATACATACATACATACATACATACATACATACATACATACATACATACATACATACATACATACATACATACATACATACATACATACATACATACATACATACATACATACATACATACATACATACATACATACATACATACATACATACATACATACATACATACATACATACATACATACATACATACATACATACATACATACATACATACATACATACATACATACATACATACATACATACATACATACATACATACGCATGAAGGACGCAAGAACGAGGATAAAGGCGGAAACGCAGCAAGAGTGGCAGGACCGATGGACGTTGGGAGAGACAGGCAGATGGACAGCGCAATTGATCCCAAACACACACACACACACACATCGGAAGCACGGGGACACAGATTTTTTCCTGACCCAACTACTGACAGGACACGGGCAGTACAACGCCTATCTCTTCAAGATGGGTTTACACAACACACCAACATGCAAATACTGCCCGGATAAAATCGACGACGCCGAACACACATTCTTCGAGTGTGCTCGGTGGAAGGACTACAGAAGAAGCACCGAAGAGATCATTGGCAGCAGGCTCTCCCCCTCAAGCCTGGTGACCTATATGATCAAACAAGAAGAAAACTGGTCAGCTGTTGCAGCTTATGCACAGCTGCTCCTGAAAGACAAAATCGCAGAAAGAGACCAGTAGCCAGGAGTAGGCGTCGTGAGGCGCAGCACGGCTGGATTGAAGTAATGCTAACGCGGTTCCAATCCAGTCCTCCCCGTACCATCTAGGGGAGAGGGGAAGAGGAATGTTTTTTTAGTGGGTAAAAAAAAAATCTCCACACTACCGACTATTGATATCTGCCGTAAGATGGGCGGCAGAGTTAACGATAGCGGTGTCTTTTGAAGATCTTTTTTCGTACCTCTTTGGAAAAAAAAAAAAAAAAAAAAACACACACATACATACATACTCATACATACATACATACATACATACATACAGACATACAGACATAGTGACAACCTCGCAGGGATAGTCAGGGAAGCTTCCTGTGACCTTCAAACGTCGAGATCTGATGAAAACTCGATTTTTGCAAAACGGGGTGAAAACAATAACTTCCCTATTTTTGAAAATCTGAGATTTTTCGCGAGAAGTTAAAAATTCAATTTTTTTTTTAAGTCCAAAAAAATTTTAACTTCATCAAAGAATTTTTTTTAGGGTTTTTTAACGTTCCAGGTAAACGTAGGTCAAATCCAAAAAAAAAAAAAATTAGGAAAATGGTTGACCCGAAAGGCCATCCCTGCAACTTTCCGCGAATTCCATATCTAAGCGCTTCAAATTGCACTTATGACGTTTTTGAGTTCTTCGAACTCAAAAGTCTGATAGTTGTTTAATTAATAAAACACTATTATTATAAGTAAATTTTTAAACTGCAATTACTTTTGAATGAATAAACCGATTTTCATGCGGTTGGCAGCATTCGACGGAATTTTTCAAATTCTATGATATACTTTTAAACACAAATTGATCAGACCGAAAATTCCGATGTAGTTCGAAAAAATCACTTTTTTCGATTTTTTTCGTAAACGATAACTCACGAACGAATCAACCGATTTTGACCGGCTTGGCAGCAATCGACGTGGTTTTTTTATGTTAAGAGCTGATTGGTTTTTGGAATTGATCGGTAAAGCCGTTTAAAAGTTATTCAAAAAAAACCATATTTGAAAACATTTTTTTTGGTAGTTTTTTTGAGATTTCTCAAAATCGACTTGTCCAAATCGGTCCAAATTGTATTAAGAACTAAGTTTGGTCAAGATCTTTCAAATGATGCCAACCGCGATCAAATCGGTCGCCGTTCAAAAGTTATGAGAGGTTTACACACACACACACACACACACACACACACACACACACACACACACACCATCTTAAAAATTGTCAGGGAAGCTTTCTAGGATCTCAAAACCAATAACTTCCCGATTTTCGAAAATTTTTAATTTTCTCAGTGGGAAGTTAAAAAAATACTTTTGTAGATTTTGATCAAATTTTTAGTCATTGTCTGAGTAATATAAAAAAAATGCTCGTGAAACTTAAGAAAAAAATGTTGAAATAGCTGAATTTTCATAGATTATGAAATAGTATATTGTGTGACTAGGGATGGAACAAAACGATTTCAGACCAGAGTGAAGTTGCCTGCCCGAGCGAAGCGAGGGCTGGCATCACTCGGTCTGAAATCGTGTTTCATCCCGCGTCACACATTATATATTTCATATAAGTTGCATTAAAAATGCTAGTTTCAATGTCTGGAGCCAACTAGAACTAGAAAGTTTCAGACGATTAGCGAAAATACCATTTTATTATAAAATTTATAATAAAATAGAAGGTAATAGTTTATTTTTTATCAAACATTATTCGTAAATTGAATAGTTTTATTTTGTCATTCTTATTTATGCTTAGTAACAGAATTATAATATGTCAGTACAGTTAACGGTTAGAATGACAATTATAAAGGTATAAAATAAACAAACAATTGATAGGATTGAAAATAAAGCTGCAACTTCATCTCGCGGGCAGGAATTCGTCATTTTCTGTCCGCCGGGAAGTAATAATTGATTCCTGCCCGGCACAGTCGCATTGGTCTGAAATTGTCTAGTTTCAGTTAGCTCAACAGGCATTGAAACTCGCATTTTTAATGCAGGTTATATGAAAAATATATATTTCCAATATTTCTAAAAAAAAAATCTGGAGAACGGTTGACCCTAAAAGCCATCCCCGCAACTTCCCGCTAATTCCATATCTGAGCGCTTAAAATTGCACTTATGACGTTTTTGAGCTCTTAAAGCTCAAAAATATAATTTATATGTTATTTTGAGCTCTCCGAGCTCAAAGAATTAGCTGTTCTAAGCTTTTGAGCTTTTCGAGCTCAAAAGTCTGGTAGAAGTTTAACACAACAGTATTTTTTGAATTTTCAAACCGTAATAACGTCTGAATGAATAAATTGATTTCCACGCGGTTTGCAGCATTCCACGCAGTTTTTCAAATTCTATGATATATTTTTAAACACAAACTGATCAAACCGAAAATTTTAGAGAAATTTGAAAAATTCACTTTTTCCGACAACGATAACTCACGAACCAATGAACCGATTTTCACGTTCTTGATGGCGATCGACGTGGTTTTTTGGAATCTAATAATTATTTTATTCCATCAAAAACGATCCAAAAAGAAATGTCGAAGTTATGTGAAAAAAACACTTTTTTCGAAATTTTTTGTTTTTGATAACTCTCGAACGAATAAACCGATTTTGACGGAACTGGTGGCAATCGACGTGGTTTTTCAAATTTAACAGCGGATTAGTTTTTGGAATCAATCAGTGGAGCCGTTTAGAAGTTATTCCAAAAAAACGATTTTTTGAAAATTTTATTTTTGAGATTTCTCAAAATCTAGCGAACCGAATCGATTCAAATTTTCACGAAATTTAATGGCAATGATACTCTTTAGATCGCCACCTATTTCGATCCGATCGGTCAAGCCGTTCAAAAGTTATAAGAGGTTTACACACACACACACACACACACACAGCCGCACGGACACCATCGCGGAATAGTCAAGGTCACTTCCTGTGACCTTAAAACGTCGAGATCTGATGAAAACTCGATTTTCGGAAAACACGGTAAAATCAACAACTTCCTGAGTTTCAAAAAATTTTAAATTTTTCTTAGCGGGAAGTTAAAAAACAATTAATTTTAAAATTGCAGCTTAATTAACGAATTTAATAAAAAAAATGCTTTTACTGACAATTCAAATACACACCATCACTTTGAAAAATAGTGCTAGTCGATATTTTCATGAAGATATCGCGCGCGATTGTTAAAGTTTTCAACTGTTGGATGTCGGAGATGTCGGCTAAATTCACACTCAAGCACATGGTAAGTCCAGCTTGCGCATGCGTACTGATAATTGAAAATTCTAAAAATTTATTATGTATTTCATTGTGAATTAAATTGAATGTAAATATGAAAATATTTGAATAAATAAAAACTTTGAGTAAGTATTTAAGAACAAACCATTTTTTTATATCAAAATAATAAAAAATAATTTTCAAACAACAATATAAGTTTGTGTGGAAGTATCGAGTAAGCGCGACAACTCATGCAAAAAAAATTTTTTATTCATTACGTTGGTATAAAATATAATATCAAATATACTATATAAATAAATAAATAAATAAATATATTAGCGTAACGTACTATTGGCTTTTGTTGTTATACTACTTATTGTTTTATTGCAGGTAATTTTGAACAAAAAATAGTTATTTTGGCACAAAAAAATTAGGTAAAAGAAAATTCTTAATCAATTTATCGATATATTTCTTAAAATAAATTTATTTCTCTTAAAATAAATTTATAAATTAAAGTGCACATAGAGCGATTAAATAATCTCATGTTAGTTATTAATCAAGATAACATTTAAAATCTACTATGGATTTGACGAGTTATTATAAAAATCGAAGATATTGTAAAATTGAAGAACAACAAGATGTTAAAAACCAGTATAACCATGATGTACAAATGTATTCCGAATATCCGAATAACTCAGTCCAACTTGAACAATTCTATGAATTAGGATATGAAAGACGGCAAAGTAAGTTTAAAGTGACAAATATAATTTAACCACTATTCAAAATTTGATAATAAACGTTTTTTGTTACAGCTCTTAAGTTGATTGAATTGATGCTAAGCAGATCAGATTTAAAAACCATTGAAGAGCGAAAGTTAGCACTCAAAAATGCTTTAAAAAAAGATGGTTATAATTATGCCGCCAAATTATTAACTGCAGTGGGATGTTCGTCTCATACAGATATGGACATAGAAGCACGAAAACGAGATGCTTTATCTCATTACATTTTGAGACTTGCATATTCTCAGAATCCAGAATTGAGAAAATGGTTTGTAGCTATGGAAGTTGAATATATGAAGCTCAGGCTTACTTCATTAAATAACGAAGGCATGTCTAAGCTATTAGCTATCAATAATTTTACATACAAACCTGTAAGTTTCAATACGTTTTTCAAAATATCAATAAAAATATATGTTTTTTGTTGATATATTTTTTCATAAATATTAGGAAAGAATATTATGTTATTCACCTGACTGTTTTTATTATAGATTCCGCAAGAAGAAAAAGATGAATTACGAGAAGAATTAAGTTGTTCAATATCTAAATCATTTGTTGTAGATAACGTTGATTTTTATAAAGTGCCTTTTACAAAAGTTCTGGATTTGGTTAAAACCAGAAAAGTTTATCTCAAAAAAGGTGTCGCATATACTCCACAATTTGAACTGTCGTCTCTAGTCGTATCACAATACAAGCGACATTTAACAAAAGCTGTTGAGGTAATTTATAAGCTTATTTCCATTATTTTACACATTCTTAAATGTTTCTCTTTACAGATCGCTTCGCAGTGTTTTTATGAATTACAAGGCGACGAGAGAGTATTTAAGTATCTCAAAAACTTACCTAATTACTTTCCTGAGCATGATCGTACTATTTGGTCAAATACAGATACTCCAGTTGATGCATTAGATGAAGTATTTTGCCAATTGTTTGTCTTGTATTGTATTTTAATAATTAAATATTTTAAATGTTTTTATTCTGCTGCAGCTTTCGAAAACTTCTTATCCATTATGTATGAGAACACTACATGAAGCATTAAAAAGTAATCATCATCTCAAAAATTCAGGGCGAGTACAATATGGTCTCTTTTTGAAAGGCATTGGTGTTAAAATGGATGAAGCATTGCAAATGTGGCGAACAGAATTTACAAAAAAAATTGATGCTGATAAGTTTGATAAACAATACGCTTACACTATTAAATATATCTATGGAAAAGTCGGAAGCCAGAAAAATTATACACCGATGGGGTGTTCCAAAATTATTAGTAATATTGCAGGTGCAGGAGAGTATCACGGTTGTCCATATAGACTGATGGATAGTGGTACTCTCAAAAAGAAACTGACTAGTTACGGATTATTAGCCACAGGTAATAAATACAATTTATAAACAAATTTTTTTCTTTATTCAGTTAAAAAAAAAATTTTATTTAATCAATAAAAATTATAGATGTTTCTGAGATTGTCTCATTAGCTGAAGAGCATCACTATCAACTAGCATGTGCTAAGTGTTTCGAAGTAACTCATAAAATTCCACCAGAGCATCCGGTGATGCATCCAAATGCTTATTATTTGGACAGTCGAAGTATTATTGATAAACTTACTGCAAATCCTCCTAGTACGTATATAGTTCGAAACATGTTCATTGTGTAATATCATAATAGTTATTTTTTATCTGCTATAATCATATTATTTTACAGGTTCTCGTGAAAATCCATCAGAAAATAATACACCTAAACAAAAGATGAAAGTTAAGTCCGAAAAATTCACACCTACCAGAACACCCAGTACTAAAACACCCACTGCTAGAACACCCTCTACTAGAACACCCATTAGAACACCAACCAGAACAAATGACAAACCTTTAGCTAGAAAAATAATTGATGTGAAGCCTGTGGATATTGAAAAAATGTTAAATGAAGATGCAATGGAAGTGGATTTCGATGAATCATTCTGAATTATAATTAGTTTTCATCATACATTATAACTAAGAATAATCGTCTAAAAAATTGGCATCTTATGGTGGTAAATATTTTCATATAGATTTATTCTTCGTAAAATAGCCGTATTTCGTAAGTTTGTATTTTTTTACTAAGATAGTTTTTGTTCACAAGCAGTCATTGAAAAAATAAAAATAAAATTAAAAATTATCGAAATTATAAAAATTATTACTTAAAAACAGCTTAATATTAAGAGCTTAAATTTTGAGAAATTTTACATAGTAATGATTTGTCAGGATAAAAATGATTTACATCTGAAGGCTAATTATTTCTGTGGTTCGTATCACTCTCTACCATTTAAGTACATTGAACCGCAATTATTTTTAATCCCATCATTTATTTGAAAACTTACAAGTAGTCGTCCGTAGTATTGTTTTTTTCCTTGTAAATTTTTTCGGAAAGACATTTCTAAAATATTTCGTCGCTATACTTCAAATAAATCAATCGACTATCACAAAGTTTTTGTCGCGTAAGACGGTTTTGAAAGCGATAATGATTAGATTGAAGGAATTGGTTACTTAAATAATTTAAAAGTAAGATGAAAGTATTGATTTTAAAACATTTTTCTTTTATGATATCATAAAATTGCAACAATTTTATAACATACGGTGATTAGTTCAGTAATTAAAAATTCATTAAAAAAATTATTTTTTTAATTTTACTTGAAATTTCTTGAAATCTTTTTAGCTGATCAATGTTGAAAATTATCACAAAATCTAGGTTCAATCTGTATGTCAAATCTTTTTGAATGCTTCTAAATTTCTTTTCATTTGGTGAATTTCGTTAACGTAATTCAAAGTTCAACTAGTCTTTATTCTGAAATTAGAGAAATTTATTTAGATTTAAAAATGTCGAGATTTGATGTAATCAAAATTCATCAACAAGATCGTCGACCTTCATCATTTCGTTCGAAATTGCTTTTTTACATTCAATATTCAAAGATATTGTAGCTTAGAAGGTGCATAGTAGGCAAAAAAGTTCATAAGACATTCTATATAGACAAATGACTGAGCATAGATCAAATAAAAGGATATTTTTCAATCTTACATTGCAGTCGATACATTCGGGTTATGAATTGAAAAAAAATGATATCGGGAAGTGTATAAATATTAATCAATAATAGTACGTTTGTATTTATTATAACTTTTTAACATCATAGTAACAATTAAATAACTAATTTAATACTGATGATATAATTTTTAAAAATTTTATCCTAAATGAAATAAATTTCCTAGGAGACATTAAAAATAGACATTACCGTTACTAGTATTATTCAAGAGCCGCTTTACTTCGGATTTTTTGATATTAAAAAATTCCCTTACCACTATTTCCAAATATTGAGATCGATCATGTCTAAATTTCAGACGGCTTTATACATATATTTTTATTCTTATCAAGAGATTCACTTGCCACCCGATCAATATTGTATCGACGATAACGAATAAGTCAGATTAAATAAATCTCTTGTTCGTAGTCACTGCGGTTCTTTTCTGTGGAAGGTTTGTCGCTCGACCTAACTATACATATGCACTTATAAACGTAGAAAAAAAAAAAATTAAATAATTGTGAGGATTTTTTTGAAATGTAAAATTTTTATTGGTTTTTGTAATTATTTTTAAAAAACTGTTTATGAAGTATTAAGTAGATACGAAACAATAGAAAAAAAATCTAAGGTTGCAGAAATCAGGACAAAATAAGAAGAGGGATATATTATTTTTGTATGTAAGCAATTTTATTGTCCTTATAAAAATATTTTCACTGAACTTTTAGAGCTTCAAAATCTGATAATTTTTTCAATCAATTTATTTGAAATTATTAAACTACAATATCTTTTGAACGCGTCGTTCAATTTTGATTTTTTTGGCACTAATCGACGAAGTTTTTGGAATACACAAAGTTTGCATAACGATTTTAGTTAAATGGTCAAAGAATTTTAAAGTTATCTCAAAAAAAATTTTTTTTTTTTAATTTTTGAATCGTTTTAGTGGTTTAGGCACCACCGCCGAAACTCCGAGAAAATTCGGCTGAAACTCAGGATATCGGCCGGCGTTGTTTAAACAGTGGAAATGCGGAGTTTGCGTAGTTGCTACACGAGATTCTGAACGCGTTTTGTCGGAGTTTTCGTGGAATTTTGCCAGTTTTTTCACAGAGTATTGCCGCTTTTTTTTTCCCAACAAAAAGTTTGGTTATCAAGTCCATGAGGTCTTCATAATTTGTCTCCACATGCCAATTAAAAAAATTTTTAAATAGTTTTTCTTACCGAATATTTCAATTAATCTATTATGAATTATTTTTGATGCATTGATTAATCATTTTTCTTTGTATTAGGATCATTTTTATAAGATTTTCATAAATATTATTGAATGTGGACAAGATTTAACATAATGATATCGAAGATTTAGTTTTTCAGGCGCTGGTAGAGAATAGTCTCCGCGCATTTGCGCTTGAGGCATACGAAAAAGTCAATTATTGCATATTAATGTTGAATTCAATTAGTAACTATGATATTAATATTTCATGAAAAAACCTATGGTCTCTGGAGGATTTGAACGCGGTACCTTAAGACTATCAGTCTGTTACGTTACTCACTGATCCAAGTCATATAAATGAAAAGTTTAGATGTTTTATTTACAATTACTCGATGTATCAGCTTTATTATTTATAAAAATACATTATAGTCGAGAGTTGAGATGAATTAGTCATTACTTTAATAAGAACCTTTGTATTTCTTGATTATTGGAAAAAATATATTTTAACGAAATTTTTCAGACGCTTCTGTTGAGTGTACTGAAAAAGAAAAATTGTTATGAATTCATCATTTGTAAATTATCTATGTCTTTTAGAAACTTATAAAAAAGAAAAATATGATAAATAAATAAATTTATTCATAATTACCCAAACATATAAATAGAAAATTTGATACATTCTATATATATATATTAGGGTGCTTTTTTTTTTGCGACTATTTTTTTTTTTTCGTTTCCATCCCGAAATTTTGTTGGAAATACACCCAAAAAAATTCCCTGAAAGTTTGAGCCCTTAATATTAATATTAAGTACTCCTACACAGCGTGTGAAGATTTCCCATTTGAAATATACGAGAACTTTGATTTTTTTTTTAAATTTCTATAGCTCAGTGGCATTTCATAGTATCGCTT